GACAGACTGACTGCCTACCAGGTCCCCCACGTGGCTGAAAACTCCAGGGCGGGTTAGGTATACAAGCACAGTGCCTGGGTAAGGCCAGGCCTAAGACCAGGGGACATACAGCAAGTTCACTTTCTCATCAGCAGCTAAGACTTCCCTGACAGCCGGCACGCAGCTGTGGACTACACGATACACACTCAAAACACCGATGAAGAAAAGACAGCTGTCAGCGGCTGCTGGAGAAAGATGTGGGTTTCTAGTCCATTCTGGGGTCTTCGAGGGAAATTGCACCCACACTGCTCTGGGAAGATTATAAAGCACGTCTGGGTGCCAGCACATGGGCACATGTTGACTATTTCTGAACTGTGCTTATCTTAAATGTCATCTTGCCATCTGGCACTGTCATACCCTAGCTCAGAGCTGTAATGTCAGGCCATTGCCAATCCGTCATTATCTTGAACAGGGCAACCAAGCAGTAGATGTCCTGCGGGATCTTCATTCAGTCCTAAGCTGATTCTTGATTTACAAGTTGCGACATCAAATCGAGTGGGTGCTATCTTTAATTACACCGTACGAGCCCCATACGCCGAGGAGCAGTTTGTTCACAGACAAGGCTGAACGAGCTCACAAGTATCTAAGAGACCAGAGAGGCTGATTTGGTCGATTTCTAAGCTGTGGGTGGTAAAGCTGCATGTCCAGCTGTGCCATTAAAACTTAAATACAGACTCCAGAAGCTTCTGGGAAACACAGCTTATCGTATCGAGGCAATGAATGTCCTGATGCACGACAGGGGCACGTCTGGGTATGTGAAATGCAACTACTGAGTCACTGAACACATGAACACACAGAGGCAGACAGGAAATGATGACGAAACCACGTGATGGTTATTCTGGACTAGCAACTTGATGAGATTTCAAGTCACGGTGGAAACGTACCTCTGGATGAGTTGGAGTTTCCAGATTAGGCTAATTAAGGTGACAAGATCTACCCTGAATGTGGACGGCACTATGCTGTGGACTGAGGTCCTGGACTGAATAAAGAGAAGAGGGCTGAGCACCAGCATCCATCTTGCCCCGTTTGCTGACTGCAGGTGCACTGTGACCAGCCGCTGCAAGCTCCTGCCGCCATGCCTTCCCCGCCATGATGGACCACACCCTCAAACTGTGCACCCTTCCTTCCATGAGTTGGTGTGTGAGGTATTTTCTCACAGCAACAAGAAAAAAAAAAATTAATACACCACGTTCTATGGTACCTACAGAGTCTCCACAGTCACAATATTTTATTAAAATAGCCGTAAGATTCTGTTGCCCAGACGCACACGACAGCTTGGGGACGGCATAGCAGGGGCCACATCCTCTCTCACGTCAGTGTTTCCATCAGTGAAGAGAGAAGCAGCAAACATTGGTTTTCGTGCTCAAAGTCTCTGGGGTTAGTAGCGGACCTCTAGAAAGGCTGTGTTGTGATGAGATTAGAATAGAAACCTCCCAACACCCTCTTGGGCACACTTCAGTCAGGGAGGGAGGGGTGTAGCACGGCTTACAACCCGACTCTGGGTGGCCGATCTGGATCTGAACACCTACCCTAGCACTTTGGTTAAGTGTGTATAACTGCCTCCAAGGTTTAGTCTCACCACATGTGACATGGCCATGCTCTGAGAGTTCGAAGCACATGACTGCATCTCACAGCTCACCTGTTTGTAGCTCACTGTCCATTTCAGAACAAGCATGCAACAAACACAGAGAACACGTGTGCACTGTCAGTAGTGAAGGAGAACTATGCTGAGAAGTAGACATTTCAGGAAAGGCGAAGGCCACCAAACCAGCTGTCCTCCAAAGAGCTGCAAGACTCTGGCTTCGTGGGGGCAGGGACGCTCCTTTTGTTTTTGCAGCTCTGGTCATCCCGCCTCTACCTCCTGAGTGCTGGGATTATAGGTTCACAGACCATACCTTGGTTGAGTTTGACTGGGGATCAACCTGGGCTCAGTGCCTGGTACAGCAAGCTGTCTACCCACCAAGCTTCATCCTCAGCCAGGTGAGGGGCTGTTAGACACATGCCAGTTCAGCTTCTGAGCACGTACTGTGCCTTTTAGTATTGTTGACAGTGGGAGAGAGGTCAGAAATGCTTTGTTCTTCCACAGTTCACCTTGGCATAGAACTGCCTGTGAAATGTGTCAACCATGAGGAATGGGGCTTTGCTATGGCTTTTAAGAGTGAGACTCTCCAAACAGAGGAGCCTTTACCTGGAGCCAGCTAACCGCCCCCCACACACATTATAGTAAACACACATGCACACACATATACAAAGGTACAAACACACACACATAAAAGTAAAAGCACGCATGCACAAACATGCAGATACAAGCACACATACACAAAATAAAAACACATGCATGCACACACATGCACAGAGCTACAAACATACAAACAGACATAACAGTAAAAACACATATGCACAAATACACACACAAAGCTAAAACACGCACACACACACAGAACTACAGATAGAGAAAGTAAAAGTAAATACACACACAAAGCTAAAACACGCACACACACACACAGAACTACAGATAGAGAAAGAAAGTAAAAGTAAATACACACACAAAGCTAAAACACGCACACACACACACAGAACTACAGATAGAGAAAGAAAGTAAAAGCAGATGTATATACACATGCACAAAGGTACAAGCTACACTGATACACAAAAAGTAAAAATGCGTGCACCAAAGTACACACACACACAATAAAAAGACACACATAGACATTCAGACACACACATAGACATTCAGTCAGACACAGACACACACACATGCACGACCCCCGCCCCCCACTTCTCTTTAGGAAGCTCTGAAGGACCTGTTGGCTCAGCCTACTTGGATTTAAGACTAGGTAATTTCATGCAGTGCTTTGCGTAAGGCAGACTTCAAGCTGTTCAGACTGGACCTTCCGACTCCCTTCCTTAACATGCTGCCTCAAGGTTGCAACCTCCTCACACAGTGGATCACACTTGTCACCTAACAGGACGTCTCAAAGCACCAGCAGCTCATCTTCCTGAAAACAAAAGCCATCTTGCCTGTGTCCAAGACACAGTGCGCCACTTGCTGCCACTGCAGCTCACGTCAGGCTGGGCCGGCAGGGACTGTCTGGTGAACAAGAGTAGGCTGTTGCTACGTGCCATTGTTCTGCACCTCTAGGGACCAGAAATCACCCCACTTCCTCGCACCACAAGGAGCAACATGGCTTAAGAAACCTCAGTGTCTCCGGACCACAGTGCTGTGTGGTTGGACCATAGGCCACAATGATACCTTAAGTTCTGCGCAGCATCCTGGGGGCCAGGGTGGGGAGGAGAAGGAGTTTGATGGAGTAGCAAGAAGACAGAGCGAAAGGATGACGTGAAAACTATAAACGATCTGTCAGTCAACATAAAAGCAAAAAACAATGAATAAACTGTTGTGTTCTCAATACTTTGGTGGGATCCCTGAAGGGACAATGGGACACACAGCTTCAGAGAGTCAGTCACATGTGTTAGAGCAGTTACCACTCAGGGTATGGGATGTACAACCTGAGCACCAGGATGTGGTTGCCACCACAGGTCAAATTAAAAAGTAAGATCATGGAGGCTGGAGAGACGCCTCAGTGTTTACGAGCACTGGCTGCTCTTGCAGAGGACCTGGGTTTAGTTCCCAACACCCACATGGCTAACACCTATTCATAACTCCAGTTCCAGGGCATCTGATGCCCTCTTCTGACCTCCACAGGCATTGCATAACACAGGAGCTCTTTCATACATGCAGACAATACACTTCTACACATAAAAAATAAAAAAATGAAATTTTTTAAAAGTAAGGTCATGGTATGGAGCACACATCCACCTAGTTCAGGGACCTCTCCTGTGTCTGCTGATGTGTCCTTCATAAGACCTGGGGTTGGAAGGGGACCATCAAAAGGCAGAGAGGAGAGAGTGGAAGAGGCTGAGGCAGGTGAACACAAGGGAAGCACAATGGTATGTTTGTGTGAAGATGCCAGAATGAAACCCGTTATTCTGTATGCTTCCGAAATAATGAATTTTAAACGTGAAAAAAGTGCCAGGCGTGGTGGCGCACACCTTTAACCCCAGCACCGAGGAGGCAGAAGCAGGTGGATCTCTGTGAGATCCAGGCCAGCCTGGTCTCCATACTGAGTTCCAAAGCAGTGGGGGCTACAAGAAGACCATCTCAAAAAGACCAAAGGTGAAGAAAGATCTGGTGGCATACACCTGTTAAGTCTCATCACCCTGGAGGCTTAGGACAGAAGACACTGTCATCTTAAGGTCATCATGGGCCACAGAACAGCTCTGTCTATATATATAAATAAGTAAATAAGCAAGATGAAGTGTACCGTAGTGCTGTAGTTCTGTAAATGTTACCACACAATGTCATACACTGGGCGAAGTGCACACAGACCTTTCTGCACCGTATCTTAGAGCTGCCGAGGATCCTACAATGCTCCTCATCAGACTGCAGTGGGGGGAAAAGTGAGATGCATGGAGACTTCTCTTAATCACCTCCACGGCAGAGAACTCTGTGGTCACTGTGGCGCTTAGAGAAATGATGAAACCTAAAGTGCTGGAAATAGTCAACCGTCTTCACGGCGAGGTGAGAACCCAAATTCAATGACTGTAGAGAAAATGCTCATGATTTTTAAGAAAATAGTCAAAATGCACAAAAAGCAAGTCCTTTCAAAAGCTGCATGCAGGCCGACACCGGCTCCAGTGGGTGAAGTCGTAGTTAGCAGGAGGGACAGGGATGGCATACGGTAGGCTAAAGCAGCTATAGGCATGGGCTCTTTCTCTCCAGGGATGCAGCTAGAGACCCTAGTGCCAGAGCTCTGTGCTGGCCTGGGGACCCCCTTAGAGAGTCACATGTATGTCCCCATGGCACATCACAGAAACAGCTGCACCCAAGCACAGCCACCTTGGTCCCTAGCCACACCCCCACTGCCACAGGACGCGGTGGCACCCAGCCCAGCACTCACTTGTTTTGCACCATGTTCATTATCACCCAGTCGAACGGGTAGACATTCTTCCCAATGAGGTTCTTAAACATGATGAATGTTTCCATCAGAAAATCCTGCAATAAGGAAACAGGGCAGTGAGATGGCCTACCAGGAACAGGGCAAACCCCTCCCCCAGAAAGGCGTGGATGAGATTAGAAAGATCTCATTATTTTCAGCTGAACGAAAACATTCTGGAAGCAAATGAAGATGCATTTCACGGGGGCTGGTATTACTTCTATCTTTCTGCATACCTGGGCACCTCCTGCTCGAGATAGCTTTTTCAAGGACAGATGTTAAAGTAGCCCCTGGGTATATCTCTCTGGCAGTTAAAAAAAAAAAAAGATCCCCACAGGTTATAAATATGCATTCCTACATTTTCTGCTTACAGGAAAACATGGATTTTATAAACCTATCATGTAGGCTGGAGCATTCTCTCATGGTTCTCCTAAATCCATTTATCACTATCAAAGGCCCCCATCAGTTTGAAATTGTGGTTTTCCGGTCCCTTCCTTTCCTTGTAATTTAAAACCGAAAGGCATTCCCTGAGCCTCTGTTCATAATCAGCATACTGCTGACCCAGTGAGGTCTTGGGCCTTTTTAACCCAGTAGCTCCATCAGGAAGCTACTCAGGAATGCCTGTGGGGTTTTGTGAGTGGTTGTGAGGAGATCCCAGGTCCACTTGCCAGGTCAAGAGGATTCTAGGAGTATCCTACTCCCAAGCCTGCTTTTAGGCTCACAAGAAATCTCTAGGCATCAGGTGCTGGTTAGAATTAGGAGGATTTCCCATTTGTGAGGGCAAGACACCTATGTGCTATGCTATCAACCTGAACACTACCAGGTACCCCATGAAGTCCCATGCGTGGTCAGGACCCAGGTTGGGAAGAGGAACGTCAACAGGGGATTGACTTCCACAAAGAAGGCCATGGCCTGAGGTGGCCAAATGAGTGAACATTTCTCATTTGTGGAATATCTTGAATCACAACAGCTCACCTTGGCTGTGAAGGCCAAGGCGGTGAACAGAACTTAGGCAGTCAAGACATCAGCTGCCACTAAGTTCTCAACCAGCACCACATGCGCAGAAGCCCATGAGGCTCTTGATGGCAACCACTAAGTGCTGGGCAAGGGTCACATACTTTCTCTGGGACCTGTTCTGGATTGATTTTTGTTGCTGTGATTAAACAATCCAAAGCAACTCAAGGGAGGAACAATTTTATTTCAGCTTACAGGTTACAGTTCATCGGGAGGGAAGTCAGGGCAGGAATTCCAGCAAGAAACTGAAGGCAAAACCACTGCTAGCTGACTCAGTTTCAGGCTCATGTTCAGGTAGCTTTTTAAACATAGCTCAGCACCACCTGCCCAGGGAATGGTGCCACCCAGAGAAGATGGGTCCTCCACATCAATTAATAATCCAGACCATCCTCCACAGACATATATAGCCACAGACCATTCTGATCCGGGAAATCCCTCAATTGTGACTTTAGGCTGTGTTGACCTTGATAGCAGTTTCTGCTCTGGGCGGGTTGAGCTGTTGCTGGCTGACCACGAATAAAACTCAGGGAGAGACGTGGTTACCTCTGGCAGCTGAGGTCTCTAGATCAGGTGTGGGACTTGGTCAAAGCCTGGGGGGAAAGTGGATACAGAAGACCTCTGATCTTTGCTCTTTACTGGCTGCCACACTGTGAGGGCGGGAGCACTCTGAGTGATCCCCGAACATTCGAGTACCTCGACCCCCACCCCCAGCTTAATTGTTTCACTCCTTGGCTTCCCGTGTTGTCAAGTGTTTCACACTCAACGAGAAGGTGACACATTTTGTGAACCACATCTCATTCTACAGGGACTTGCTGGCTTTCTTGCACATCCCTCCTCCAAGTCTACAAATGGAGATGGAGGGTCTAGTTCTTGTTATCCTAGGAGAGAAGCCCGTTCTCCAAGAGACACAAGCTGGGACTTCAGCAGATAAATGCTGGAACTCCATTGATCAAACAAAATGCTGCCTAGAGAGGGTGGTGGTGTTTCCTGAGTTTTGTGGTCAGGTTGGGGAGTAATTCCCTAGTCATGGTGGTCTAGAGGACCACACTGGTCTGGCACAGCTGGAAAGGCTTTGTAGACCATTCTGCCGAGTCTAGAACATTGACTGAACACCCTTCCCTCATTCCTTTTGGATTTTTCCCTTGACTGTCCACAGGGCATCCTCGATACTAAGAGGGTAACTCTAACAACAGCCATAGGTGCATTCTGGAAGCAAATTCTTATCAGAAGGCTGTCTGTTCTCTCTCTCTAACCCCATCAGCTTTATTAGAGTTACTCTCTCACACCGGGACTTCCACAAGGGATGCCCACCTAGCTCCAGGTGCTCATTCTTACTCCCTCTCCCTCCACATTTCCCCCAAAGTAATGTTTCAATTTACCATCTTTCTCCAGTGCTGGGTATGGAAGCCATGGGCTCATGCAAGGTAAACAATTACAAATCTGATGAAAGCATCATGGTCTCCCTGGCTAGCATTCCACCCAATGCTGCATTGGTTTCCCAGTGCTCTTAAAGACCAATGGTCTGGACACTCAGGGGAGAGCTACCCCAGGAGAGCAACAGTTACAGTAAGGATCAGCAACAGATCTACCATCTGATGGGGCTTTTGAGAATTAGATATCTATCAACATTGTGGGTTTGGCAATTTCACCTAAAAGCTTGTTTGGTGAACACAAAGGGAGGTGTATACAATATAGTACAGGCCTGGTAGGGCCGGCTTACAAACCCAGCAGTCCAACAGCACTCAGCATGGTCCTGTGCTTCTACACACCTGCTGATGGGGCTCAGCACCAGTATCAAAAACTCTTGCCAGGGCTGGAGAGCTGGCTCAGCAGTTAAGAGCACTGGATGCTTTTCTAGCGGACCCAGGTTTGGTTCCCTGCACCCACATAGTGGCTAACAACCATCCTTAACTCCAGTTCCAGGGAACCCAAAGTTCTCTTCTGGCCTCTGCAGGTTTGCATGCATGGGCATGTACTTACATACATGAAGGCAAAAGCTCATACACATAAAAATAAATCAGCTGGACGTGGTGGCTCACACCTTTAATCCCAGCACATGGGAGGCAGAGGCAGGCAGATCTTTGTGAGTTTGAGGCCAGCCTGGTCCACATAGTGAGTTCCAGGACAGCTGGGGCTACAAGGAGACCCTGTCTCAAAAAGACAAAATAAATAAATAAATTAATTAATTAAAAAAAACCTTGCCAAAAAGCTGAGCTTGGATTTTAGTCTAAGCTTTGGGCTTACAGGGATCATGGGGAGGAAGAATAGAGGAATCTGTCGAAAACTATCACCAAAAAGGGCTAAACAGTCCAGAATAGGGGATAGTGTATGAAGCGCTCAGCTTGGTCTCTTCAGCACTATCAACTGAAAAGAACAGCAACACTGGGAGCTAAGGAGATGGCTCGGTAAAGTTTGTCAGTGCGAGCAAGAAAACTTGGGTTCAGAGCAACAGAACGCAAGTCAAAGCCAGACTGTGGCATTCACCTGTAACCCTAGCAATGTAAGGTCGGAGGCAGCAGAGGCCTGAAGCTCATGAGCTGGCCAGCATAGCCACATCTCTGAGTTTCAGGTTCAGTGACAGAAGTGAGATATCTCGTATCCAAAAATAAAGGTGGAAGGGGCTGGAGAGACAGCTCAGCCGGTAAGAGCAATGGCTGCTCTTACAGAGGACCTGGGTTCAGTTCCCAGCACCCACATGGCAGCTAGCGACCATCTGCAACTCTGGTTCCAGGAGACTCCAACGTCCTGACATCCTCAAGCACTGGACAACACGGGTGCACTTACATGCACGCAGGCAATACATTCATACACATAAAATGAAAATAACAAAGTATTTTTAAGAATAAAGGTGGTGAGCCATTGAGGGAGACACTAATCAATTTCTGGCTGCCACATGTTCATGCATGCATACCCCTCACACTAAAAAGTGAATATGCTGGACCCACGCATACATAACGCACACACAAGCAAAGCTGTGGATGGAGAAAAAAAGAGTGGGAAGAACTGAGACACAGCAAAACCAGTCAGTGGGTGGCTCAGGTCTGTGACCCCAGGAGACTGAGATGGGGGATTATAGTGAGATTAAGAGGAGCCTGGGCCACAGTGAGAGCCTGTCTTAAAACGAAATACAACACGCAAACCAGACAGAGAAATCCGGACTGGACTCTGAAAGGGAGAAATGTGTGGAAAACGAAGAGATCAGAGCTGAGTGTGTGAGAGGTCAGCTGTCTCTCCCTACAGTGTGATGAGGGCCATTGGAGGTACTTGCCTGGTCACTTAGCAACAAGTATCCTGATGGCACTTCCCTCTTAAGAGATTTGCTGCAGAAAGGCATACAGAGAAACAGACGGAGGCTCCAGGGCAATGGGCTTGCTAACTGCTCAGGCGATGTGAACTGCTGTTTGTGTCGGGCAGTCTTCCCCGTATATGTGAAGCTTTTCACGGTACATTGTTAAGGGAAAGACCACAAGTCATGTCAGGGAAATTTGAATAAGGTAAGTGGATTGTATGAATGTCAAAACCCTGGTTTTGATGCTGCACAATGGTTTTGCAAGATGTTACTGTCAAGAGACGCCGGATAAAGGGCATACAGAATTTGTTACTTCCTACAGCTCTGTGTGACTTCACACTGATTTCAAAATAAAGTTTACTCAGAAAATAAATGCAGGGCTGGAGAGACGGCTCGGCAGTTAACAGCAAGTACTGCTCTTACAGAGGACCAGAGTGTGGTTCTCAGCGCCCACACTGGGTGGCTCACCCAGTGTCATGCGGTTCCAGGAGAATATGATACCTGCGGTCACCAGAGGGCACCTGCAACACCTCCAAACACATACACGATTAAAATATTTTTTAAAATCTTTTAAAAATGCTTTAAAAATAAGTGCTTTGAGGGCTGAAGAGCTGGCTCATCAGTTAACAGCACTGGCTACTCCTGCAGAGGACCTGGGTTCTGGTTCCCAACATACACATGACAGCTCACAACCATGTGTAACTCCAGTTCCAGGAACACCCAGGGACACCCTCTTGTGGCCTCCATGTGGACTGCACACATGTGCACAGATATAGAGACACATACACAAAATTAAAGTGAATGAATGAATGAATGAATGAATGAATGATAAATGCTTTTGAAAAAACAGGCAACCAAAAAGTGAAGGTCCCCAGCACAGCCTAGAAGGAGATCCTGGCAGTGTGATCAGCCCCTCTTGGGAACCTTCCACAGGAACTCATGCCCACCATAGGACCAGGAACTGTTCGTCTGGCCTGCAACCCCTTTCCCTCCACCACTGCCTACTCTGCTTAGAGAGTTGCCTCATCACCAACTTAGCCCTGTGTGCCTGCCAGGTGGATGCTTTCAGAGCACAGATGATATGGGTTAATTGGAAGGACTGATTAAGTATAATATCCTCTGCTGCACCACAGAGGCATAAGAGTTTGTTCTGCCTTTGATGGTCCTCCATGATGCTGACCCAGCGTCAGCCATCAGTACATAACCATTGAACCTGGGCTCCACAAGGGTGCTGCGTTCACAGACTGGTGGTCCAGGGTGGAGAACCTCTGTTAGGCTGCACTTGTAAGAACAGGGCATCAGCCCTGTGCAGCCCGCCTCCTCTTCATACCTAGGTCCCACACCATGGAGACCAGGCAGCACATCTGGTGGCCGTTTCACATGGGCACAGGCACCTCTGAGACCTCACAGGTCTCAAGAGCAGAATGCGTCTGAGGCAGGCACATTCATATTGCTAGGATTCCTGCTTCTCCCATCCCCATGAACATCCTTCCTCACCTCCCACATGCAATACTCCATCCTGGCCCACTCCAGCACAGGCTAGTGGTCATATGGGACAGACCAGGTATGATGCTATGAAGGGGAGGGGCTCCAGTCATCTAGAAACAGCAGGACAGATGTCAGAAAGGGGTTCACAGAAGCCTAGGACTGAAGCTTCAAGAATGTGGGAAGGGATTCCAGCAAGAAGTTCTGGAATGTGCTGGGGCTCAGAGCCCTGGCTGGCTGTTGTGAAGGAATAGGAGACTCTATGGGAACCCATGGGCCAGCTGGTGAGGCCAAGTACTGGGTCAGAGAGCCCACAGTACCCATCAGTCCTCACTGTCCGTTCCCGGCTTCAACAGACCCTTCTGCCCCACACTGCCTCCACCTGTTCTGTCCTGCAATCCCCATTCTTCAACCACTGTGGTATAATGGTACAAAGGTCCCGGGAACAAGGGTCAAATCCTGTGTGTCACCATACGTATTGTATACATAGTGAGACCCTTGTGCACACACAGGAATTTATTTTTATGAGGTGACAGGGAGGAGCTGGTCACTAAAAAGCCTAGGAGATGAGAGGTTGTAACTTCCAACCCTACACGTCTTAACCAGGGATGAATTGTGCTAGAATAACTCACAGAGAAGACTGGAGGAGATGGGGATGCTGACAGGTGGAGGTGAGGAGAGACAGGCTATGGAGAGGATGCAGGTAGTTCAGATGTCCACCCCACCCACTTTGCCCTGGGCAGTCTTTCCCACTGGCTCCTCCACAGTTGTATTCTTTATAATAAAGTACATATATGCAAGTGTCTCCCTGAGTTCTGTGAGTCACTTGGGCAAATTACGGACCCCAAGGCCAGAGTCCTAGAAATGACCTTGCAGCTGCTCTGATCACACTGAACTGCAGGGCTCTCAGCTGCTGACAGAGAACTGTCTGTTGTGAGAGAAATCTCCAGGTGCAGGATCATCAAAGAGCAGTGGGTAAGAGACTCCAGAGCGACCAGTAGAGGACACATAGCAGGAAATAGTAGCACTGGAATCTGGCTGAGCCCTCGGTTCCCACTCCGGACAGTGAGACTTGCTCCGAGTAGCACCCACCACTGGGCAGAGGTGAGGGAGGATTGTTCTGGCTCTCAGCCTCTAGGAAGCAGTTTACCTGCTTTGTGAGGGACACTTGAATGGTACCTGACCAGTCCTTTTCTTCTCTGGATTAGTCTTTCCCCCTGGTGAGATTATCTCCCTACCCTGGGGTCAGAGGATCATGGAACAACTATAACAGCAGCCCTGGGAGGACATCAGTGTGATAATAACTGTGACTGCATGTGAGAATGACTCACCCGGCACAGAGGGCTGAATCTGAGAAGCTCGCTAGAAGCCAGCGAGTCTCAGGAAAATGGTGTAGGCTATTTTCATATTGGAATACTAATTAACTTCCAATTATTTCACAGGAAATAATCTTTTCTTTTTTGATTATTGCTAGAATAGAAAAATAATAAAATACTCTCCACATACAGTTAGTGGATAGGAACTCATTTTATGAAGATTTTAATGAATAAACAGCAATCAAAAAAGCCTGCCATCCTTGCTGTAAAAATATGAGATATACAAATAACAAATTCCATTTTATAACGGAAATCAAGTTGTCAGCAAATAATTGACTTTTTTGAACAGCTATATTTAAGGAGGAAAAGCATCTCTTGGGAAATTAGGACCACAACATGGGGCTGATATCTCTTCTCTACTCTGAGGGAGGAAGAGGACACAGGCCCAACCCAGCAAGTCCCAGTCATCCTTAGCAGCCATGCCATATAGGGGAATTTCACCCCTTACTGCAGCTTAAGTACAGATTAGACTGTCTAATACCAGCTGTGGATTTTTAAAATTTTATTTATTTTATTTTTTCATTTTATGCGTATGAGTGTATTACCTGCATGTGTGTAATACACCTGTATTGTGCAATGACCTTTGGAAGTCAGAAGAGGGTGTTGGATTCCCTGGAACTGGAGTTACAGACAGTTAGCCGCCAAGTGCCGGGAATCAATCCCGGGTCCTCTACAAGAGCAGCCAGTGTTCTGAACTGCTGACCCATCTCTCCAGCCCCAGCAGGTATGGATTTGGGGCTCGTGTCTGTTTCGAGGATGTGTGCATGACTAATTGCAGTTCTCCTTGTTTGGAGCATGGGTAATTCCTCTCATCCTGAAAAGTTTAACATTCAGCCCAGAATACTATCTATAAAGTCACACAATTGTAAACTACATAATTCCAACCGACCAAAGCAGGGTCTAGGGGCATATGGAAGACTTGATGTTGATATTAAATGCTGGAACTATAACATGTGACTTCACCATGCCATGGTTTCAAATGAATCATAGGACATGATGTGACATTTATTGAGTGTGCCCTGCTGTTAACTATTCCCCAATACTTAAAGAAAACCAAAATACACAAATATACAGCATGCACACATTTTTATACTCTGGCTTTTATTTAAGGGAAAGTGTTATGATTTTGAAGGACAGATTTATCTTCTTCTTAGATATATATCAATCTACCTATTGACCTATCTATAATCAATCAACATATTATCTATCAGTCTATCATCTATTAATTTATCCATTGACTTATTATCTATTAACCAATCTATTATTTATCAATATATCTATCATTTGTATACCAGCAATCAATCTATCATGTATCTAACTATATATGATCTCTCTATCAGATCTCTATATATGTTTATCATCTATGTATATATTTATCATCTATCAATCAATCTATCATTTATCTGCCTATAAGGAAAATTGCTGCAATTTTGATGTATAGATGTATTTTCTTCTTAGAGACTTATTTATCATTCATGTACATATTTATGTATCTATTTATATGTATCTATTATTTATCATCTATCTATTATCTATCATCTATCTATCTGTTATCTATCATCCATCTATCTATCTATCTATCTATCTATCTCTCTATCTATCTACCTAAATACTTACTTATTGATCAATTCAACAAATAAAAAAATTGTCCTACATACAATTCTTTAAAAAAAAAAAGCCATGAAAATCATTCTCCTACTTCCATCCCTAGATAAGATAGAGGTTAGCTGCAATACACCTTGCTTTGGAATACTAGCCAAGCTGGCTGTGTCCTATGGGAACCTGTGGGTGTTCTATAGGAACTACGGTGAGTCCTCAGGAGTGGAATCCAGGCGTTCCCGCCAGCTTTTCACAGGAAGCTTGCCAGCATGTTTGGTTGCAGCTCTATAGAAGATATTTGCCATATGGCAGTGTAATTTCAGGTCATTAGGGAAGGAGATCCTAAGCGATACATTTCCCTCTAGTATACTTTTCCTAATTAAGCTGCATCATAGTTTCGGTGAGGAGGACTAAGCAGTTATTTGGAGAAATGCTGATGAGTGACCATAATCAGTGCTAATTAATAGCAGAAGATAGCTTAAGGCTGGGGGGAGGGCAGCTGGAAGGCTACTGCTATAAAGTCAACCAGGAAATGACAGGAGCTAATGACTGTGGGGAATGTGTCTAAATTGCTAGTGACCCAGTACATGGGAAAGGACACTGTGACCAGAACAGACCAGGAACTTCTCTGGGCTAAGACTCGAGTGCTTCTCTAGGTCAGCTCTAGACTCAAGCCTCCAAGTCAGGACAAGGCTTCAGTCAGACCCTGTGGCTTCTGACACCGAGGGCAAATCCCCAGGCAAGAGTCCTTTTAAGATGGAAATACAGACATCACCCTTTACTTCCAGTGCTGGCCCTAAGCATAGGGAGGTGGCAGATGGACAGGACACTTACCACAACATCTGTCCTCATCTTCCCAAAGGTCTTGATCAGGTGGGCATAATGGTAGTCTTCCATCTGCCGTAAAATAGCTGTCATGCAAGCCACGAAGTTCCCCTGCAGTGATTGGAAGGGAGAGTTAGGTAAGAAGATAATTCTCCTTCCTCTTGGAAGAGATGACATCATCCTAGAGGCCTGCTTTCCACCACCAGAGCAAGGCATGGGACCTGGGTAGAGGCCCTGACCTGCCACGCCTTGCTAAAGACCAATGAGAGAGGGCCTGGTCCACTTCAGACCTCAGGATGTTGGGGAGTGCAGGAGGATATTTTTTCCCGAACTTCACTAATGTTTCTTGATAAAAGGTTGCCCAGACTGGAAAAACAAGCTTTAAAACTTTTTTGTATTAAGTATAGAAAAATTAAAGACAAAGTTGAAATCACAGTCACTTGTGTATCGTGCTCCCTTGAAAACTTGCCCGTACCATCAGGCAAAACCGTGTGCATAGCCCCCTCTTCAGCCATGCCAAAGAGAGGTCCTTTATTTCTGAAAGTCTTCCCAGGTCCCCCTTGGCCAGTTGAGAGGCAATCACCACTGCCTAACTCCACTGTGAGTTACAGTTCAAGTCCCCTCTTTGGGAAGGGTGGGGGAGAAAGGCAGCTCATGGGATGTCAGTTGGAAGACAAGGTAATTTCTCATTCCTGACATGCACGGCTGGAAAGGGAAAGGAGGAAGGAAAAAGAAATCAACCAACAAAAGCAGAAATGGAAAGAACAAAGGACTAAAGCAATTAGCCGAGGGCTCCGGGCACTGCGCGTGGTTGATGTGTGCACCAGTGAGCGCGGCGGATGTGTGCACCACTGTGCGTGGTGGATGTGTGCACCACTGGGGGTGTACGACTGCTTGTGTGTGCCTTGGAGGGCTATGTTTGGGG